TCATTTTGCCTACCTTACCTTACGCAGTGCTTTAGTGCCAACGGCCGTTCGGCAGAAAAGTATTGGCTTGTTCCTGAGCATCTTCCCCTCAGGAAAGGGTAACGCCCGTGATGATCCCGTCAGAAACGCGAGGCAGGACCGCGGAGGAAGGGTCCTATTTTGGTTGACGTCATAACCTCCCGGCCTTACTCTGCTATGTTTTCCCTCTTGAACCCCTACATTCCGATTTCTCTCTTCATTTATCCACAAGTTCATCTTAATGAATTCGTTCAATTGAGACTGCATGTCGTTGTTCATACAGTTGATTTAGTTTTTTGGTTCCTCGAGCGACCAGAGAGCTTTTGTATCATGCAGTACCCACCAACACCCTATATCCAAAAGTTACCCATCGTATGGCCACGCGACGCAGCTTACAACGCCATTTGGACGACAAACAAATGCCACGTCCAACGGGACAAAAAAAAAACGCCATGACTGTCCAGTTGCGCCACCTCGAACAAGATCTCCAAACGATGCCAATCCATGAGGGTATTCAAGTAATCAAACAGACCGACCTCAGCCAACCAGGCTAGACTTGAGCGAAACGCTGATGCCATCAACGACGACGAAACAAACAACCGAATAAAACAACAATCAAACGCACGAGACTGTACTCGGGGCCGACGTCAACAGTTTGTAAATCCATAGAGTGGATGGAGAACGATGATTGCCGACAATATGTCAAAACTCGCATCCGCTTATTGAACACGACGGTTCACGATCTCGCCCGCCCGCACCAACGCGCTCATGCCGTCGAGCTTCGGATCGCTCCTCTCCTGAATACCGAGCGACGTTGCAGAAGAAGCACCCGATGATGCTTGCGACACGTTCGATCCATCAGTCCCCGTTGACGAGGTGGACTGGAATCTCAATAAGGCAGGTGGTGATTGGTAACCTTTAAACCTCATTAGCCTCTGCGGAAAGCCTTGCTTGGTTTGACCGTGAGTACCATTCTTCGCTCCCATTGGAGCTTGAGGCTGCCCTGCATAGGGCAACTTTGAATCCTGGAGCGGTTGTGGTCCGGAAGGCGGCACCGTCGAGAACGGTGATGGTTGCAACTCGAAAGCAGGTCCCGGCAAGGTCTTGTTTGATAATAAGGCGTGAATCGGTAGCGAAGATTCACTAGGTGTTCGGGGATACGACAGTCCAGATCCAGAGGATGAAATGCTTCCCGCGGAAGAATATTCGTGCTTCAATGATGGCGGTGCGGAGGGACCAGGGTGTGTCGGAGGCGCGAAGCCCCCAAAGCCATTTGCCTCAGGAGACCTTGAAACCCCGTTCAGTCCTCGTCCATTGTTGAACACATCCGAGAGGGAAGGAAGATGCGGAAGTGTGACTGGCTCCGTTTTGGCTGGGGCTTCCGTCCATGTTGGGCGGTGGTTCCGAGTCTGCGAGGTACGGGGACTTGTGGAGTGCAAGCTCTCACGATCGAATTGTACACTGGCAGGAGAGTGTACCGAATCATCATTGGGGGGATGATGATGATGGGAAATTGGGGTCGGCACGGCCGTCGAGTATTGCGATTCAGATACCGACACCACAGAACCCACACGCTGTTTGCGATTAGGAGGAGGTTCGCTTCCCTGGTGACTCTCTGTACCACTCCCCGTGCTACTGAGACTCCCAGGTGTGGCACTTGCGCTTCCTCCGTTTTGCAGACGAACCCCCGAATCAAGCTTCTGACGTTTCGACGACTCTTTTGCTGGATCAGGGTCAGCTTGGCGGCCATTCGAAGCGACAAACCTCCACGCACCTTGATTTGCGGAGGCTTGCCGTGCCTTGAAATCTTGTAAGTACAGGTTGTATTTCCTATACTCTGTTGTCTTCTTATACTCAGCCAAGTCGTGGTTGTATTTCTCCTTGGCTTTCAATGCGGAAGTTTCGTATGGTTCCTTCTCGCCGGGAGTTAAGTTTTGCCAGTGCTCTCCCACAAGCTTGGCTATCTCGGTAAATGTCAAGTTCCGACCTTTGAGGTCATCACGCATCTCTGCGAGAATGATCAGATATGTTCCATCATCTCAGAGCAGGGTAGAATCCATAACATACTGTTTGAAAAAAGGACATAGGCCGAAGGAGGTCTCTCAGGGGCATTTTCATCAGGCTACGTTGGTTAGCTACGTCCAGGTACGAGTGTACTTCTGCATGAGAGTTACAAACCTTGGGGTGACGCCTATACTTTCGTTTCGTAGCGACAGGTCCCTCCTTGACCTCGAGGCGGGGTTGATCAGGTCGTTGTGTCTCGGGCTTTGGCTCTTCTGCGCTTGCTCTTGTGGGCGAAACTAGTGATGCATCCGGGGCAAGGCCACGAGAGTTGGCGATGCGTCTCTGCAATTTCTGCCTTGTGTTAGGGCTTGTAGGGGTTGCGAATGTACGTCAAGCACTTACACGTCGGTGTCCTAACTTGACTCCAAGTGCGTCGCTGCAAATTACCCTCGTTAGTCTCGAGTATGTAGCGTGGCAATAGCCATGGTTTACTCACAGGTCAGACTCAGTAATGTCCAAAATCGTCTCCCACGTATCGAATCCTTGCTCGAGAAAGATGTCTAGGTACTGCGAGATGCCTAGCTCTGCAAAGATTCCATCCAGTCCTTGCGCCATGGTTTATCTGAGTGGCGTATATCAAGTTACGTCAACTCGATGGTGCTGTTGTTACGGGACGGTAGTGCGATGGTTCGCGAACTTCTTCTACGTCGAAAGTGATCTCCAAAGAATTGGCTTTCACTGTTTGCCGCTTTTCGTTCAAATCCTTCTCGAAACCCAAACTCTTTCATTCAGTCGTCGACTCGATTCGCTACGTCTCGATTTCCGTCGCTCGAAGTCGAAACACTTCCTTTTGCGTTGCGGTCAACCAATAATCATCGAAGGCTTTCTTCTCAATCGAGTCGCGGCGGATGGGCAGCGACAGGCGGCGTCTGTATCGAATACTGAGTGTCGGTCGGCAATGATGGTCTTCTCGTCGTCTTCGATACTGAGCAAGTCGATCCAAGAGCGATGTTGTTGGAGTAATTCCGAAAGTATTCGATTGCTGGGCGAATTCTACGTCTGCTTGGGGCGTTGATGATAAGTAATTGCAGAAGAGGAAGGCGTGTGGCACGCATGGCGTGGATATACCAAGTTGGTGGCTGCCATATGGAGGACGGATCTCGATGACATTGAAGGAGACCGAGCTTTTGGGGTGTGGGACAACGGCAAGTACCAGACCAAGCAAAGAGGGGCTTCGGGATTCAGATGAAATGGGATGTGCGCTCTGGATAGAATACGTACTTTATGAGAATGCGTTTTTCTGAGCCGGCTCGGCGGTTCGCAGCCGCATGAACGACGGGGAAGACAACGGATAGATGGTCTGGTCTGGTAGAGGAAAGTAGGGCGCGTCTTTGGTGGGAGTGATGAAGACTGGACCAAGTTTGTTTGATCGAAGAAGGGGGTTAGGTTTGGGAGAAAGGGACCAAGCCGGCAAAGTCTTTTTTTTTTTTGTCGTCTTCCTTTGCACGGGATAAGAATTGGGAACGGTGAAGAAGAACTGGGGGGGATGACCGTCTACTGAGACGGAGAGGAGAAAACGAGTTTGGTGAGCCAAGGGGAGGAAGGCAAGGTAAGGTACGGATGGATGCCAGTATGGTACGGAGGAAGGGCGAGGTAAACGGTTCGAAGATTGAGAAGAACTAGCCCCGCGGTGATCGACGCGGATTAAGAGGTGAGGTCAGAGGTGTCAATAGGGAATCTCTCTCGAGGGTGGGTGTGTGTTGATGGTCGACCGTAAGGTAAGGTAAGGTAAGGTAGTGAGTCTAGGTACGGATACTGGTAGCCTCAGACGTCGCCGCAGACTCGACTTGTGATCCGGGGTGGCATGTCCAATGGCCCCAAGCCCCAAGTAGAGAAGCTAGAGCAGCAGACTGATGGATAGCTCAAGGTACCCAGGACAAGCTCCCTGGCGTCTGATCGCAGAAACCGACTTTCGAGAAGTCGGCGATAGCAACAGTGAGCATCTGTTACTGGAAGCCCATCGCAAAGAAAAGCGGGATCAAGCACAAGGACAGACACATATGGAGCCCTTTTGGAAGACATGAAAAGACATGGGTTCTCAGCGAGTCAGGAACAGGAAACGGCCGCTTGAGATGGGCCTTCGGGATACATGCAAATCCTGTACCGGTACATGAAATCCGTACCTGGACCATGTCTCCATCCCTTCCATCTTTGCCTCACTCTCCCAGGACTACAGGGTAGAAAGTAAGGTACCCTAGATACGAAGTACCTTACGTAGGTACTTCAGTGCCTCTCTCTTTCCCCGTCAAGCCCAAGGCACCCACCAAACTTGAGGCCTCAGGCCGGGATCACACATGGGTACGGAACTGGAAAGAGTGCTAGTGGCCCTGGGCCACTGCCCACTGGCTGGTAGGTAAGGTAGAGACTAAGAAAGAGAGGGGGGGTGGGTGTTCATCCATCATCCATCCACTCAAATATCACTCCCCTCGACAACCTGCATACACCTCCAGGCAAGGTACCTTACCTTCGCACCACACAGACATAGCAGACACGCTAGACTCTGATGCGCCAGCCCACCACTCTCTCTCTCTCTCATGAACGGAATCCGCTCCGTAACTCGACTGACTGCAAGTGCGGTAGCGGGAGCGGCATCATGACACGCCTCGCCTCGACAGAACATTCCCAAGCCATACCTGCACACTATCTAGACTCTCACCACTTAGTAGAACACACGATACCAAAACAGCCACTATTGAAAAACCAGTGCTGACCCTAGATTCAAGACGGCATCTGCATCTGGATTAATACTCCAATTCGGCAACGGGCCCTTCGAGACCGTCGCGGGTCATGCCGCTGGCTCCTGGCCAGCATTCTTCTTCTTCCTCTCCAAAAAGAGAGCGGGGACCGAACATCGTCATTTGGGTCGCGGAATACCGCCCGTCGAACACTCGACCAGGAGAGTGAGAACCTCGCCCTCAATGCAAGCAGTAAACAGCCAATTGCTGCATTATCATTCGCATGCCAGAACTGCTTGGGACAATGGCCAAACAGCGCGAATTCGATTCTTGTTGACGGAACTGCGCCTGACCCTATAAACAGCCCTGCGATCAAGTCACTGTTCCATTGCCTGCTCTCCAATCAAGAGCAGGCCGTCAAAGTGAATCTCGATGTCGATTCCACCTCCACGCTCATCAGTGTGTTTCTCAGACAAGCCAGCTCGCGCTTCTCGACGTGTCAGCGTTCGAGCAGCCAGTCAGACTGGCTTGAACCGCCAGAGATGGCTATTCACACGCCTCCGCGCGGGGAGACGGAGCATTGCACCAAGGATTGAAAGACACCTGAAATCGAAGAATTGCGCCGCGATCGAAAGCCGCTACCACCCCTGCTATACACGCTCACGCGGATGAATCTGGCCACCACGGGCCACGGTTGAGGAACGCACCTCGTCCATAGGTAATTGTCCCAAAGCACGGTGCGGGTGAGACAACAGACCGCGACCTAGGACGACGTAATAATTGCGTTGACGTCTCCGTTCACCTCGCAAATGTCCATCTGCACATTATGGAACAACCCTAGTGGTTATACGAATACCGGAAGGAAACGTCCTCATAAACGACATGGCAATGTTTCGATGATCGATCAACCAGAAGTCGATCCAGGACGAGAAGCCGTTTCGTCACGGCCATGGGCGCCAGAACACAGCGACCTTTGATCTACGATCCATTAGACCCAGAGCAAAGGCCATCAGGGGGGATCAGCATGGTGCCGGTGCGATGCGTCTTGCTGGTAGACAGATACGACAGACATATCACCGAATTTGCAGAAGAATCGCATTTTCGCAATGCGATTACTGATGACACAACATGCCGTGTAACTCTGAACCGACACAAGGGGCAACTTCGCCGTCGGCTGACCTAGCAAGCAACTGAATTGTCTCCCGTTTAACCGAAATGTCGTTATGTGGCGGAGGGGTAAACGACGAAAGCCATCGTCAGTCTGGAGATTGTGCATTCGGCTCGATATGGCATTTAGGTGACGGGTGGCAAAGTGAGGCTGAGAGCACATGTGCCTTCACTTCTGGGTTGTTACCGGCTCCACCGTCCATTAAGAGCGTTCTGGAACTCGGACCATCTGAATGAAGCTGGACAAACCGACGGCGAGCAGGATTGGCACGGCATCTAGGCGCATGCAGACAGACCCTTTTGACGGGGCACTGGAACGAGAGAAATGCATCAAACAATGCTTTGCGAGAGCTGGTCAGCACGGATTAGGATCATGGACCGGTCCAGCGTCGCCAGACTGAACCCGCCCATGGTGCCAACACGATCTAGGCCATTCCGCACCTCGTTAGTAGCACACTGCAGCACCAAGTACGCGAAAACGCGCCAGACCATCAGAAAACAACACCCATGGCCACATTCAAGCTTGTCGACGACGGAGCATTGACTGGATCGACGTGGTCCGTGTTGCGATGTTGAAAGGTGATAGAAGCTGGTAAATTGAGGGTTCTGAAATAGCAGCACGAAGTACGGATCTCAACGGAGTACGGATATCTTGTTTCAATATGCTAATACCCATGGCCAGCACTCGCACCGGCACGAATAATTATCTCACCTCTTCAAATTTCCATACGGAGAACACGACATGGCCATGGGCTCCCACTGCGGAGGGCGTTGATCTATCCGTGTGCCCCAATGGACGACGGAGGGTTTCGCCGTGGAACGTGCTACCTACATGCCTAATGGCAGTGTTACAGAGCATCGACGCGCTAGTCACCTCCCGACCCAACCTTCGATATGGACGTCCCGCCGTGACGTAGATTTGATGCAGCACGAGGTTCGCGGAACCGACAACCTCGGACCAACTGGATCTTGTTGGATCCCTTCTACGTCGCCGAATGACGATAAGTTGCAACAAACTGTAAGGAGCTCATGGGCCAAAGTTTCATCGAAGATACGAATCTGAAGATTAGCGGGCAGCAAATGGGCTGACAGTAGCCACCGGCTGGTCCAGACACCGAGAGAACGGATACTGTGGGCGTGAGAGACTGGGAAGAGGCAGGAGAAGACAAGACAGTCTTGCGCGCGAAGAGGAAGGGAATCGTCGATGTTTGTGCATGGCCTGCAGGTCTGGTTGAGGGATATCGTCACTGGGCATTCGAGAATACGATCGCAGACGGCACATACGATCACCATGGGAAGCAAAGGCGACAGGGCTGATGCTGTTCTCGCGCGGGCATGCCCAGACACTGGGCTGCTGGCACGCTGGTTGGCGAGAGAGTCTAGACTTCTACTAGGTACAAGTGTATCTGTACAAGACAGTCCGTACAAGCGTAACGTACCTAGGCGCAGGCGCACAAAAGCATGACTTTGCAGTGAGCGAGCAAAGCAAGGAACGAGACGGGACTGGATTTGGCTGAACTCATCCAGGGCGGAACCGTAAGTTACGGAGGAGGGCACATGGATGGACAGAGGGATGGGATCATTTGAGGGTTGTGATGATGGGTGTGCGGACAAGGTTCCATTGACTGCGACACGGTGAATTCCAACATCTCGATCGCGAACGCCCATTTCCCAGTCATCGAGATTGAGCAAAATGCCACCAAGAGTGAGAGAGATTGGACCGCCGCCAGTGCGTCAGAAAGCACTGGGTTTTGGTATTTGGGATCCGATGTCATTGTTTTTTTACTGATCAGACACTGCGAAAGTCCGATCGGGATGGGATGGGGTTTTGGTTGGCATCTGGAACTGTGCGGCGCCATCGAAAAAAAGAAAAAGAAAGAAGGAACACCCGGAAAAGCTAGTTGGGGGTTCTTTCCCAGCGCAGCGAGTGCCTGTAGGGGGTTTAGGAAGGGAATGTTGACAGTTTCCGGTGCGGTCCACCGCGCCCAAGTGGGGTTAGCGCCAGGACACTTCCTGAGAAGTAGGCGGTACCTCGAGACCTTTGACTGTACAGCCACCTGCCGCATTCCATAAGGTGACGTGAGGTACCTACATCAGGTACAAATACTCGGGTAGCTTTGTGAAGACAACAGACTCAGTGCTGTACTTGCAACGGGGGAACCCAAGCTATGGCTCAGCATCCCATCCTTTCTTCACTCGCCCTGCTTGCCCCATGGTTATCTAATGCTATCGTGGTAGGGACGGAAAGTAAGGTAGAGAGAGGGATGACCTCACTTTCCCCAGTCATGTCTACGAAGAAGAAACAACAACAACAACTCACGGGCGAGCTGTCAGCCATCGAACCCGCCTTTCACGTCCGTCTACTGAATATCGGCAGGAGAGCCGGAATTGGAATTCCATCTACCGTAACAACATTGCAAATGGATGTCAAGATCCTCTCTGACTCACACGGGCCTCGAACAATATGTCTGTTCAAGGCCTGTCTGTGCCTTCCTACCTGCCTCCCATCGCAAGGTACCATCCCATTCGAAAGTGAAGCAAACCATGGCAGCCACAAGCACAAGTCTGGAAGAATTTCCCGCTACCAGCTGCCCAGTTCAATATAACACGACCCTCTGGCTTTCTGGCTGCATCGGCCCTGCTTTGATTCTGCAGTGGTAACCTGTCGGCAGGTTTCCAGGTTTTGCGTATGAAGGACGTTAGGGGAGGGGGGCAGCTTGCAGGCAACAGCACGCTTCGGATCAAATCAATCAACCTGGTTCCCGAAGCTTAGCTTGGCAACGATACTTTCTTGCCAACGGTGCGGCGGTGCACCCCCCAATATTGAGTGGGCCACGGGTGGGATGAATCTGCATTCTGTAATGGAATCAGAATCAAAAGTCGACTTCCCATCATCACCAGGACGGAAATGGTATTCCCGGCTCAAGATCAAGGCACCGACAGTCATATTGACCATGTCTGATTTGGGGACAATCAGGCCGAAATTCCCGCGATAGTTTGACAACCCTTGCACTATTATTTCGCACCTGTGGCCCAGGTAGTACTGTTGTAGTAACAACACATCCGAAGATGCACGGGTCATTGCGATGAAGACATGATCGTGATACCACATTGCGACGCTACTTACGCGTTTCCCATACACTGGGCAACCTCGTCGCTGTGGTTAGCAAAAGTTAAGGCTGAACAGCGATGTTCAAGTCCACGAAGGGATGATCCAGCAAAAGTTATTAGTGCCCAGAGGCGGATTCGAACCGCCGTCAACACGGACCGCTGTATAGAAGAACCACAACGTATCATCCTAACCAACTAGACGATCTGGGCCACCGGGTAACGTTGTGATTGGTAGAGAGTTCAATATCTAAGAAGCGCGGCGTGGACAGATGGAGAATTTGTCTAGTTCTCGTAGGCCCGTAAAGGTCGTGATTAGGTAAGCCGTGGGCACCGTGCGTCTTCCCCAGGTGAGTGTGAGGGGTTCGAGTGACCGCGTGTTTCTGCCGCCTATCGACGACACGCCGTTGAATCTACGGACGTCTCGAGACCCTACACTACAAAATCCCATACATCCATCCCAGGAACATTCAATATCATCTATCCCCTGACACACGACACCGAATTATCGCCTTTCATTCGGCATTACCGAATTCCGGGTCATCTGGTACGCTGAGCCACCCAGAGAAGAACTGGTCCCCCAGGCCGGGAATCCACGCACGCTTGTCGCCCTACCTTGGCCAGAGCAAATCACTAACAAAGCTACAACAAAAGTATTATCGAGTATTCAACAGCGTATCGACGACTCGTCAACGGCAAAACATCACGAGAAGGCGGCGCAAAAAAAGACGCCTAGTATCCGCATTTCCCACCATTACGACACGCATACCAGGGTACGGGAACGGGCAATCCACGATATCGACAAAGGGTTGGATCGGTGGAGGATTAAAAAAAGAGGGCGACCCCTCCCATTAAGACCCCAAATCAGGCCACTATCTTCTCCCCTTTTGTTCTTTCCAGGGCAGCTTTTTATTTTCTCACCCTTTTGATTCGCCCGCTCATCACCATCTTCCGAACATGGCCCCAACGTCCAAGGCGCCCGAGTCCGCCTCCCCGACAACGACCGGGCCCGATGGCGACTCGTCTGTGGATAACATTGCCCAGGTACGTGTGTGTTGTTAATGTTATCCCGTTGCCTACAATTCTGCAAGGCGGTTTGGTTTTGTCTTGGGACCCCGACACAGCAAGGGGCCTGGGGTCACCTGAGCGGATCGCGCTGAAAGGCGCAGAGCCTTAGGCTTAACCGCGGTCCCAAAGGTGGTTTTTTGCCCGTCTTTCTCTGCCTCGGTTTACCATCTCCCCTGCGTTTCCCATCCTTCCCTTCTCCGTCTCTCTCTTTCGCAATCTCTCGTTCCGCCCCTAGATGCCTCACTCCGTCTCTCCTCCCCCAGTCGCCTCGCTGAGTACTGCACCATCCGCCTTTGGCAGGCCCGTTGGCAGCTCCGCTGTCCTCCGCTCGTACATACGGAGCGGCTGGGAACTTGCCTGGTGGTGCACGCTGTAACTTGCTGCAGAGGAGAGGAGAGGAGGAGAGGGCATGGTGAGGGCAGAAGGGGGTGGCATCGGATGGGAAAACCCCCCTACCTAGACTGTTCCAGGGCTGACCACGTTCGGGGCACGTTCTAGGCCTACAAGGACCTGCTAAGGTACGCTCATTTGACGAGTATTTTTCCTTCCTGTTACTTTGTCCCCCCCACTCTCGTCGTCCGCGAGCTTGAGTGTCAGCACCTCTTGTCCTCGCGCCCATGGTGTGAGGGAATGAAACGCCCCTCTCCCTGCTTCACTCACCACAATGTTGAGAATGGCATGTTTGCACCCTGAACGAGTCGGAGCTGCCTCCGAAGCTGCAACCCCCGAGGGAGAGCGTATCGCTTCGGATACCTACACTACGGTACTCAGCAGTCTAGCCCAGATTTTCCCACGGATCCTTATGTGGCACAACAGCGGCCGCGGCGCCTGTGCTCACATTCATTCGTTCGTGGGCAAGACATCACCAAACCTTTCCACCTGGTGCAAATTCCCCCTTTTTTGCGAATGGCGTTCTCAGCCTTGGACTCTTCTTGAATTGGTGTCGGATTTTGCTCGATCCGGCATAGACTCGAAATCTAGCCAGAGATCTTTTTTTCCCCGGCTCATAACCGCCGGCATTCTTACATTTTCGGCTCTGCGGGTTCCTGTTCTAGCGAAGAGGGCCATCCACGACCTAGCATTCCTCTGGTCGCTTTGCCCGCGATAGCCTCTATGGGGGATGTCGCATTGAAGCGAGACACGCGATTCTATCGCTCGATCTGAGGCAGGGTGCTGGACGGGTTGTGGTCCGGCACTCTCCCATTCGCTATTCCAAAAACCCATGTGCGACGATGGCTTTCGGTTACCGCTTCCGCAGAAAGCCCGTATCGTTGAAGTTCTAGACCCTCCCTTTGGACCAGACTATCCGCTGGCACCGCGAGCCTAGAGACGAATACGGCCTTGAGCATCTTTCACCTCCAAGCCTAGCGCCCACATCCAGTCTCAGCCCATGAGCACTTCGCGACGCCCGGGGCCGTTGTCAGATCACGCCCAAATACTATCTGCATCGCCAGACTTTGGGGGCTACTGCACTTCCCCTTGCTCCCCGCCGGGGTCTGGCCAAGCGGCAGGACCGAGAAGACAAATTCCCATGTTTTGTTACCCATTGAGATACGCCCTCGTGACCGCTGTCATACACGCCATTCTTTTGGGGAGAATTTGGGCTAACCGCAAATCGCATACAGAGGCGAGCAGGCGGCCAGCGCACTCGAGGCCAACTTGACGAACCTTGAGGGTCGACTTGATGCACTGCTAGCCGCGTTCGAATCGGCTCAAGAGCCCAACGAGGACGGCACTGTGGCACCACCGCCCGGCCAAGATGCGAAGAAGCCGGACGACACGGTCCTCGCCGAAACCTCCAACTGTGGAACCCAGAGCTCCGAGTTCAAGTCTCCCGAGGCGGCGAAGAAAGCCTAGAACCAGATCTACCTTTTGACGATGCGGCGGCGCCGCCGTCGCCGGCTACTAGGCACTGGTCTGTGGCTGGGTACACACACATTCGACGGCCGCATCGTGGAAGGGTCAGTCAGCATTTAGTTGCGGTGTCACGAACTCACGGTGCCACGATGTTCTGGACCCGGGACCCATCCCTATTGCATTTGCATTGCATCGTATTCTTTGCCCTTTGCGGTTCCGCATGGAAGCGAATTCTGGGGTTTGCGACAAGACCAAAAGGTGGCGAAGAATGGGCGCCTGCATGCCCCAGGCACGACGATCCATGCTAGGGATCAGGGTTGCCCTCAACACGTGTATTAGCGGATTTTTTTCTCTTGCCCCCGACCTTGACCTATCATATACATTCTCACCGACCGCATCCCATCGTATATCGCAATCCCCCCATTGATGTATCCGCGCACACGTGGTGACTTTTTCCTCTTTCTCTCTCGGGCTTCACACAGGAGAGGGAGAGGAAGGTACATGGCATGAACGTCCTTCTTCTTCCTCACAGTACGGACAGGGGATAGGAAGTTATCGAGATTGGGGCAAACCGGAGGAGGCGAAGGCGAAACTGCGCGCAGCATTGCCGGATTTAGACGGTTTTTGCCACTCGCTTATTGCTATCTTCATGTCCTAGGAACCACTCAACTTTTCTCTCCTTTTTCATCCTTTGAAGAGGGTCTAGAACTTGGTGATGCATGGATTAAAATGTGATTGAAATGTTTTTAATGTTGTGTCGGTGTGCGTACGGATATAGTGTGGTAGTGCGGTAGTGTGTGTGTGATTGTCTAGACAGGAGCATAACCTCCTCCCTCGCCTCCTTGCTTCCCTTGCACGCCCCGTCCCCGTATGCGTCTCACTCAAAGGGCCAGAAGGGACTCGGCCGACATGTATGGACGGACGTTCGAACCCCCCTTCCACGCGGAGGAAACCCCCCTCGCAATTCGCAGGGTTATCCGAACGGCGGGGGGAGGGGACTCCAATGGCCGTTCCTGACACGCAGATCATCGGTCAACGAATGAGAAGTGAGAGACGTGAAGCCGATTTGGGGGTGAATCGACAATGGACTCCCGATTAAAACGGTGTATAGTCCCAGCCTCCGGATCAAACGCTCCGTTGTTGTTGTTGTTGTTGTTGTTTTTGGTGAGATCGTGATGGAGGTGAGAGAGAGAGAGAGCCCGGCTAGCAGAGTGACGATGGGTTTTGGGCTGGCACGGCTGGAGACGGTCTGTATGTAGATCCTTAGATGTGGCGGCGGCTCTAACTTGTGCTGGTGTACCCATGCATATGTATTCGTATGTGTGTATTTTGGGTGCCCATTACCGTTCCCCGGCCCAATCGGGTGTGATAAGTGACATAGGGTATCAAGTCATGTTGCGGGTGGGTTTGCTTTCCTGATGTGCTTGTTAACTTTTCCTCCCCGTTGAGGAGGCTACTGGCTCCCTTTTGCCCCCTTGATGATGGTAATGGAACAGTTTTTGATAGCTCTCGGCCGTAAATATATCATTGTACAGAAACAAGGATGTGAAGTGTAAAATTGGGTTGTCTGGGTAGAAAGACCAGAAGTGTTACAAGCCTTTCCCATGCTTTTTGTCTTCAATAGCGTTACGTTGTAGATTTAACCGTTTACCATACAAGGGGCTCTTATACTCGCGGATATTCTCGCAGCGGCGTCGAATTAAGGGTAGTGATGATAGCGGAGACGTCCATGGATCATCATGGATTGGGCGGTAAACGGCGGTAACGTTGATTGACGGGGGGGGTGTAAGAGAAGGAAGGGAAAAACCTAGTCAGCCTCGCTGAAGAACGATTGTTGACACCATCTACCGGCCCTGCAAAGAGATTTTCCCCCCCTTGTCTCATAATGCTGATGTCAATCTTGCATTCAAACGTCTTTTGCGGAGTGTGTTCACGTCACATCGTCCTGTTGGTAAAACTTTCAACGGAATTCGGGGCAGAAATTTTGCTCATGGTTGTTTGCAAGGAGTTCCCTTTGACATTTGAGCCTTCTATCTTATGTAGGCACACTGCGTGCAAGACATGAGATATAGAATGATGTGGAAAAGAAATACAATGACTTGGCCACGTGGAAAGTTCATCAGGACCGAGATGGCTTCTCAAGAGTGGGAAGAATGTAAGAGATAGTCTTAGGGGGGATCGTACAAGAGGGCAAGTTAGATAACCCAAGATGTCATGATACCCCATCAAGAACAGAACAAACAGCCAGCTGCATATCTCCTTGAAGAAGAAATCATCACGTAGCCGTCTCACAAACTTCGAGTGTCACAGAGGGGAGCAATACAAGTCTGGGTATCCAGCCCGACCAAGTCGATCGGGCCTCTTTAATGTCAAACGATGTAAAGTCTTCTGTCCCAACCCTATACCCAATAGACGCCCTTGTTGCTGGTACCTTGATCTCATTGATGATGAAAATTCCCAGATCCACCTCTCTTTGGCCCTGGCTATTGACCTTCTATGCTTATTCCCAAGGAGACCAATGTCGTGGCCAGAGTCATCGACCTCAACTACTGACGCCCCCAAGAAGAAGAAAGCACAAAGCTTAGCCGTCTCATGTACTGGCTGTGTGGTAGGTGTGTTTCTCCTTGTCAAGCCTGAGCAATAAATGTAAAACTACAATGGGAAGGTTAACAAACGGTAGAGAAGGGCGGCAGCGTTGACACCCTGCACTTTGCCCCTTTGATGATGATGAAAAAAGTCAAAAACGAAAACTCCCCAACGGCCTTCAGAGCCCAAATGTTGCCCTGCCTGGCCCTTCTGTATGCAAAGCCCAACTTGGAAATTCCTCCCGTGAACCAACCCACAAGCCTAGCTGCTCTCTCTATGTGGGCGAAAATTGCTGCACACGAACCCACTATCTGAAATCTCGAAAGCTGCTTTGCTCTTCTATGTTGAGAAGCTTTCAGCCACTAAAAGGGGGGCGAGCGGGCTGTATCGTATGTGATTTGGTGTACGTGTAAGAGTGTCGAGTGAAAGGTAGGATGGGGAAGCGACGATGTGCGTGTTGTATCCATCAATGATCTTGTATCTCTTGGGGTATTTCATCGAAAACGATGTCAGTCGAATGTGGTTTACTCGGGGTTCCACTTGCGTTTTTTCTGAGCCTGTCCCTGCACATCCCAGTTAGGAACTATGTGACCTCAGTAGTAGCTGCGCGCACGAACAAGAAACCAAGTTAGCTTGTAAGGCTGCGCGAGTCGGAAAGGCCTTTACGTGCCCTAGAGATGGGGTCTTCCTGGTCTGCCGTTGCCACTGCTGGGCTGGCTGGACTGGGTCCCATGATTGGTTCCTTTGAAGTGAAGGATCGGGTCTCCAGAGGCGGGCGAAGATGAGACTGAGGATGCTCGTTGGAGCTTGCCTTGACTCTCGACTGCTGAGCCATATCCCTCTCCCGATTCTTCTCCAGGAGCTGACCGCCGAGGGTCGCACACTTGAGAATGGTCTGGATCAGGTGGTTCTGCTGCAGAGGCTTCGACAAGTACTCGTCCATCTGTGCCTGGATGCATTTCTCGCGATCACCCATCATGGCGTGGGCCGTCAAAGCAATGATGGGAGTACGATGCGAGCCCAGGCTGCGCTCGTACTCACGAATCTTGCCTGTTGCCTCAAAACCGCCCTGTTGGGAGTGAGATTAGCTTGCTATCAAAGATGGTCAAGTAGTAATAGAAATTCCGGGACTCACCATGATTGGCATCTGAACATCCATGAGAATAACGTCAAACTTCTTCGCCTTGATGGCCTCAACAGCCTCGAGACCGTTGCCAACAACTGTAACCACGTGGTGGTACTTTTCGAGAATCTTAACAGCAAGTCTCTGGTTGACCCGGTTGTCTTCCGCGAGAAGAATCTCGAACGATTTGGTGTTGTCGGCCAGAGACGGGGTCGCGCGGTTCTCGAGAGCAGGAATCATGCCGTTGCCGAGATCCACAGCAGTGCAGGGTGTCGTCATGTATGATGTGATACCCAAGTCCAGGCATGACTTGAGGTTCACGTGAACGACAGGCGCCAGAAGAACGATGGGTAGGTACTTGAAGTCGTCCACGGATCTGAGCCTCCTGGCGGTATCGATGGAGTCGACAATAATGACATCGTACGGCATCGCCTGAGCGTCGCGAACGCTGGTGAGGATGGGGTTCTTCTCCGACTCGACAACAACGGGCTTGAGGCCAATCAAAGACAGCATTGTCTCGATCTGCTCTCCGTAGCCAGATTGCGACTTGTCGACAAAGAGAACCTCGTGACCCTTGTACGGCTTGATTTGCTTCTCGATGATCTCGACGCCGAGATCCGACAAGCGCACTCGACACGTAAAGTGGAACTCACTGCCTTGACCATGTTGGCTCTTAACCCACAAGTCGCCGCCCATGAGCTTAACAAGGCGCTTCGAGATTGACAGTCCGAGACCGGTTCCGCCAAACTTTCTTGTCATCGAGCCGTCGGCCTGTTGGAAAGTGTCGAAAATGAGGTCAAGCTTATCCGCGGCAATGCCAATACCTGTGTCCGTAACGATGAATTCGATAGCGTACTGGTCAGGACCGCATGCCCAAACAACAGGATCGGCCTTCTTAATGGTCAGACTGACTTCGCCGTGTTCCGTGAATTTGATGGCGTTTCCGACCAGGTTCAGAATAATCTGCCTAAGACGGAATGAATCTCCAATGACGTGATCCGGCACGGAGCTGTCGACACGGTAGGTGAGGTCGAGGAACTTCTCGTTTGCCTTGACTGCCAGTGTTTTGAGAGCATTGAATACCGTTCCTCGCAAAGTGTACGGGATCTCTTCTATAACCATCCTGCGTGCTTCGATCTTGGACAAATCTAGAATGTCGTCAATGATGGTGAGTAGACTGTTCGCCAGACTGTTAACAATATTCAACATCTCTCGCTGATATTGTGTCAAGTCCGTGTCTAGCGTCAGCTGCGTCATGCCGATAATACCGTTCATGGGTGTACGAATTTCGTGAGACATATTTGCCAGGAACTCGGATTTCGTTTTGTTGGCCAGCTCTGCCGCCTCACGAGCCTGTGTATTCCTCTGGATACTGTCCCGTAGATTGGACACCATCTGATTGATCTTTCGTTTGAGTTCGTCCATTTCGCCCGAAGCTTCCACTTCGACAAGTTTCGTGAAGTCTCCGTCTGTTGCCAAGTTCGTAATGTCTGAAAATGCACGCACTTGAGTTGTCTAATGAAGCAGTCAGTCGTCGGTTCTGTAACGCAAAGACCCAATGTCATAGACTGCTCCGCACTTACCAAATTACTAGCCATGGTATTCACATCAGTCGTGATCTCGCGCCAACGACCCTTCAAGCCGGCAGGATCTGCTTGCGCGCCCATCTTGCCGTCGACACCGACGTCTCTGGCCACTCTTTGCACTTCATTACAGAAATTGGAAAGCCTGTCAACCATGTTGTTTATCGTTTCTTTAAGGACGAGTATTTCTCCTTGGGCTTCAACCTCAATCTTCTGGCTCATGTCGCCATTGGCAATGGCTTGGGTGACGGTCGAGATACTGCGGACCTGTATCGTAAGATTTGAGGCCATGGTGTTGACATTTTCGGTGAGATCCTTCCATTTGCCTTCCACGTTGTCGACCTGGGCTTGTCCGCCGAGCGTGCCGTCAGTGCCGACTTCCCTGGCGACCTTGCTAACCTCAAAGGCGAAAGTGCCGAGGCGGTCCACCATGGTGTTGATAGTATTCTTCAGATCGAGAATTTCACCTCGGACGGGTACTCTTATCTTCTCCGTAAGGTCGCCGTTCGCCACAGCCGTTGTGACCTTGGCAATTGCGCGCACTTGTGTCGTTAAGTTCATGGCCATGCCGTTGACGTTCTCGGTGAGATCTCTCCAGGTTCCTTCGACATCATGAACAGTGGCTTGGCCACCAAGCCTGCCTTCCGTTCCTACCTCTCGGGCAATCTTGGTCACCTCGCGGGCAAATTGCTGGAGTTGCTTCACCATGGAGTTGATAGTAGACTTGAGATCAAAGATTTCTCCCCTGCAATCCGCTTGTACGTTTTGTGTAAGGTCGCCCTTGGCCACAGCAGTTGTTACCTTGATGATGTCTCGTACTTGTGTCGTTAAGTTGTTTGCCATTGCGTTGACGTTGACCGTTAGTTCATTCCACATGCCTTTGACTCCCTCGACGTCGGCTTGGCCACCAAGGATACCTTCAGTTCCTACATCGCGAGCTACTCGAGTGACTTCGGAGGCAAATGTTCTCAGTTGGTCTACCATGGTGTTGATCGTTTGTTGCAGTTGCAGGATTTCTCCTCTGGCGGGGCGTTCGATCTTCTTGGTCAGGTCACCGTGGGCGACAGCAGTGGTTACCGATGCGATTTCTCGCACTGCGGGTTGTTAGTAGGGTTCAAGATTGCGGTTTGCGCGTAATTACTTGCCTTGATCTGTGAGATTTTGGGCCATAACGTTGACTGGAATAATTGGTTAGCAGAGAGACTCAATCAAAATCATGGGCCACAATCTAGGCGCACCATTGTCCGTCAACTCCTTCCAAGTACCGTCGACACCCTCGATGCGAGCCTGTCCGCCGAGCAAACCCTCGGTTCCGACCTCGCGGGCGACGCGGGAGACTTCGCTTGAGAAAACCTGTAGCTGATCCATCATAGTGTTGATTGTCCGTTTAAACGTGGTAATTTCAGGGTCCATTTCGACGGTGTTCATGCGGACCTTCTTGGAAAGGTCTCCGCGCGCAACGGCTGTGACGATCTCACCAATCTCTCGCAGGGCTTTCTGGAAGGCCTCGTTCGCCTTTTGGTGCTTCCATAGTTCCCGCTCCAGAGTCGCAACTCTCTCTTGTTCGATCTTGAAGAAAGCCTGTTCCTGGAGTTCCTTTTGCTCAAGGAGCTGGGCGGACACGCTGCTGATTTCCTGTCTCGCGCTAGAAATTCCTTTCTCCTGGTCAAGTACCTTCTCTTGCAAGCTCTCCAAGGCTTCGTCAGTCAGCGGGCTGTCTGCGAGGCTCGGATCGGCTGTGGCGGTACCTTCGCGTTGGAACTTGGTGGGCCCGGCGGCAACAGTGCGGCTGTTGGAGGATGATGGTGATGCGCCGTCGGAATCGTCGCCAAAGAGGGAACCGTGGACTTCGTTGGGCGTTTCCGGGAAAGCTACAGAGGCGTGGGCTCGACTCTCGAGCTTTTCGATTCTTTGGGCAAGCTTGGCAAGCTCGTTCTCGAGGCTTCGCTTGGCGGGGGTATCTCGACCTGGGAGCTCGATCCGCGCATCAACCTTGAAGGGAAGGGACATTGGCGTCGTGCCATCAGCGGCAAGGGATTGCACAATGGCCGCGGCAGCGGCCAATGCTGAGTCGTCGACCATGTTGAATTATTGTCTGTGGGTTGAATCTGCAAGCAGAGCAGAGAAGACGCTGCTTGTGATGTTGTGAGGCGGGGTTCGTGGGTGGTTGAAAATATGTAGGCCGAGGCTGGAGAGTTTGGACGGGAAACGGCGGGCGGGTATAGATCAAGAAGAGTTGTGGTCAACCAGCAGCATATTAGCTCAGTGAAGGCCTGGAACCAATGTGAATATCGAAAACTGGTAGCTGTTGGTCAGATGCCAAGTCGTTCAACACTCGCTCGAATCTCGTCGACCCGATGTGTCAAAGACGATGGTGCTCCTGTCTTTTTTTTCTTCTGCGGAGTGAAGGTGATTTGGGGGGAAGTTGGGAAGGGGAGGGAGTAAAGAAGAGGTGGTGTTGGTGGGTTGGCAATATGAAGCAAGAGGATGAGGAGAGAAAAAAAAAGCAACGAGGCGAGCAAATAGCGAGGAGACACGCCCCGAAAGTGGTCAGGCGGATAAGGTAGGACGAGTGAGCTACTAGAGGCTAGATAGAGGTCGCAAAAGAGCAGAACAGAGCGAGAGTGAAGAACTACTGCGAAGGAAGTACAGCGCTCTGGAGTATTCGTAGGTGAAGAGGAGATAAGGCGGAACATGAAGTACCTTGGACCGGGGGTTGGACGGATACCACAGCGGGTTAAGGAGGGCGGATGTAGGGATTGGGGTGGGATGGGACGGCGAGGGGGGATGCTTGGGAGCAGAGGTGGGGAGCAAGATTGGTCGACGAGGCGAACGGTGAATTGGTCGTAGGACGAATGGTCCTTCTGGCGCAACACTTGGATTTTCCCTTCTCCCGCTCACTGCTGTTTCCCCTTTGCATGATTGGCGCTATTTGGTTAACATGTCGCTGGTTGGATACTGAACGTTCAGGGAGAGAGAGATTCATCGGCACCGTCTCCGTGTGTACATCGCCATGAGGTAGGTGGATTGATAGGCTGATAGGGTAGACACGTAGTCGGTACTCGGGATGCGCATCGAAAATCGTTGCATCAAGATGTAGACTCTACGCCTAGACGGTGAGCTGCAATGCGCCTGGGATCACCAGAGATGGAGGAGAGGCTCCCCCGTACTCGGTACCTCGTGGAGCAGGTACTTGAGAAATACATCTGAAGGCTTGAGGGTGCGAGATGGGGCAAAGAGACGGCGCTAGTATAAGTCGGTCCAGCCTTGCGTGTACTTTGTGCCGCCAGAGTTGCGGCAAGAGGTACATGCTGAGTCAAGTAAATCCCGGCAGCACCCAAGAGGTCCCCAGCGAATGAGACGGGCCTATGTGGGGCAGTTTTCCGTCAGGGGGGCCACGAAGGACTCTCTTGCGCAAAGCAATTCGCTCCTCCAGCCCGCGGCCGACATGGAATACGAATGGTGATCGGTCGACCATCTTTCCTAACCCAGCGCAAGCGTCGACGCCCCAAAGGGGATTGTCAGAGGGCGACGGTGTGCTTGTCCCAGGTCGTAGGCAATTTCAGTGATGAACATTGGCTTGAATGGCTGTTGTGCCCCTCCTCCTCCAAGCCCGGCTTGTCTTTCGCAACGTCAGTGGGAGGATGAACAAGTATCTCAAGGTACCTACCCAGGTCAAGGGATAGGTAAGGTAATGCCTCGTACGCTCCCCGTGGGCATTGGACATGCTCTCTCTATCCGTCCTTCTCTCACCTCTCATCTATCACTTGATTGATGGGCAGCACTGCCTCGCTGCGTCTCATCGGTCTCTACGGAGTGACCATATTCCATACGCCGATTTCAATAGCCAATGCCTGTGTGCCTGCCTTCTCGCCCAGTCCGTTCACACGTCTATCACAGACACTAGGAACCGTCGATGCACAAGACAGATTCAACAGCCCATCCGTGCATCTCAAAGTTCCGTGACCACCGCCTTTCCACCGTCCTTTCGCTCCCCTAGGCTCTGGGTACCTTACTGACAGGAATGATATGGGGGCCAGACTAACCGGAACTACCTTAGTCCAGACGGTCGGAATGAGTCTACTCCTCGTCTGGCGATTCTGCCGTCTGGAGTCCACGCATTCGGCCATGTCGACCGTTGCCGCCACCTGACCACCTAGCTGAGGCGGCTTGCCTGATATCTCATCTCGCAGTCTTCGTATCCCGTCAACCTCGAGCCGAAGGGCTTCCGCATGTTTCACTACATGTATCTGTACGCAGTCAAGCAGTACCCGTGCCCAGTCTCCAATATCTGCTAGGCGAGAGACAAAAAAGAGCCGTATCGTAAGGGAGATACGTGCTAATGGCGTATCCGTTCTTCGTACACTACACTATCACACCCAACCACATACACACTGTAGAGGTCTGCAGGGATGCAGAAGTGCTAATTGCTACTCCCTCGACCCCGGTCTGTCAGCGCGTGTTCTCCTGTGGCCTACCTGCAAAGTAACGACAGACTTGGTGCCTATCCGTGGACTGTACGGATAGAGTCCTGTGGCTTGTGGCTGTTTGGGCACTTGCAGCAACGCTCCCGAGGCGGCCTAGCGCTGCGTGCTGGACGGACGTGACGGGCGTGACAGGCTAGAACCGTTTTCTTTCGCGATTGGTGTGGGGAAAACCAACGCATATGCCCACGGTGGAGAACCTGGTTGGATGGATGCTTGCTTGAAAGTTGAGGTGACTTTCTTCTCCTTCCACAAAAAAGTTGCGCCTCGGTTTTCACGGAATAGGGGTCTTAAGACTGAGCAGACAAAACACCACCTGGTGCTTCTCTCCAGACTTCCTGAGACCCTCTCCAAGGTTGACGTCGTCCCTCATGCTGCCACACCACGAGGGTACCATGGGTATCCGTACGGTGTATCCAACGAGTTTTCGGAGCTGGAGCACCGGCGATTGGTAGCGACGATGGTCTCCGTGTGGAATCGCAGGGTAGTATTTCTCAGCTAGGTGACGGCGGGAGGCTCCTGGCCGCCCCCATCCACGATTTGACCCGACTCCCATGGCCACCAACAGCGTTGCTTTGCATTCCCTTCTCGTCTCCACAACGGTAACTTGCGGCGCTCGCTCCTCCTCGCCGTTGTCCCTCTGCAGCTGCTACGCTGTGCCGCACATGGTGGAGTGGCCAGCCGCTGTAAGCCTGTGTCCGAAGGCCGGTAATAGGGATACCAACTAATACCAACAAACTTGAACGGCAACAGTTTCTTAGGTAAGGTATGCCTCCGCGGCCCGCTTCAGATCCAGGATCGGGTGCAGAGTGGGCAAGTCCACGGTTCAGAGAGTCGAGAGGAGTCGAGATTCGATAAATCCGGACAGGCCTAGCCGCCCGGCTGTCACATGGTGCATCAGGGAATGCCCGTGCTTGGTTTGCCTGCCCCAACCTCATCTCTCTCCTCTGCATTGTTCGCAAGCATGGGAAGTTGGGAACCAGTTCCAGATTCAGCAGCTGATATCGAGATCGAGATTCCCACGATGGAGAGGGCGAATATGCCCTTAGTCAAGCTTCTCTTTGTAAAGGGATAGGTAGTCTATTGTGACTTACTTGAGTGTCGTACTCTCGGATAGAAGCCAGCCGGGCAAATATAGTGCGTATCTGCAGGTAAAGTACAAATAGATGCGGATAATGGCACTCAGGTGTCGTGAGCTGGAGACGTCGATGAGGTAAAATGGACAGTGCCAGAGATAAGCACGCACGTGATACTTATCTTTCTTACCTTACCTACCTTCCATTCCTTCCTCTAGCTACCAAATGTGCCTCCTTCCTGCACCTGCGCTGGGCTCCTGCGGGAAAGAAGAGAAAAGAAAGAAAGTGCGAGCTAACTCACTGTGAAGCAAGTGCCAGGGGTCCAAGGTCAGGGGTCCGGTCGTCCCATCCCGATCCCATTTCTCTCCCCCCTCTTACACGGTGCACCTTCCTATCTTCCTCCGCCCAAACCAAAAAAGAAAGTAGCCACACACTTTCTTTGACTTCCCTCGACGTCCCTTGGAAAACTTGGGGGACTCGGGGACTTCTCGAAAACATTGAGTGCTCGGCAAGTCGCCGTCCGTCGCCCCGCCCGTTACTTTAGTCTTTAGGTTGAGCTTGAAGTTTGCTCCGGTCACTGCCCAGGCGTGCGGTGTGCCAGTCTGCCAGCCTGCAGGGAGTCATGGATGCCCACTCCCCTCCCATTCTCAACGTCTGACTTTCACACTATGGTACTAACGCCCACGAACGACACCGTCTGAGAGGCAGCCACTGCGATCGTCAGGGTCCGCTCTCAAGGTTTCCACCCGTCAAGAACGACTGTCCGGGACGCCGTCCAAAGATCGACGCACAATGCCTTCTTCGTCCGTTTCAACATCTCGCGTCGCTCGTCCTTTCATTAAAACCGTATCGCCGGGATGCCCTCCAGAGTTCGACCATCCCAGATCTCAGGCCTCCAATCCATGAGCCCATGCAGCCCATATTGCTCAACGTCCCTTACTACCGCGCCCCCGCGTGTGGCTCTTTCCCCGGAAACGGATCCTCAGGACACCGCCTGGTTGACAATCATCGAACAGTCCTCATCAGAAACCAAGACAGCCCGAGCTTCTCACTGCTTCTGGCCCGTATTACTCTGTATCTTCTCACCCAGCACCGGCACGCCTCTGCCTCAAAACCATTTGTCCTACAGCCTAACATCCACAGCGGGACGAGTACGGATGCTGGGAGCCTGCCGCCTGCCGAGAAGCCCAAGCCATCGACGTCACTGTGGTCCACGAGGTCTTTAATCTGATTCGACCTCAAGCCACGCCGCCCTGCATCGAGAGCAATCGTTGACTCGCGAAAGCTACTTGCTCAGGGAATGCCCATTCTTGGTCTTAGCCTAGCGATCGCTTGTCCAAGAATACTTCTGGACAAACGAGGTCGACGCCAGTCTCAAACTCGCTGTCTCTCCGAAGATGTCGTCGATGAGTCGGTTGAGCCAGCCATAAGACCTTCTTGGATAATTCCAGTTTAGAACTTCATCGACCATCCCACCTTTGCTCGCCTCAAAACCCAACCGGCCACCCGGCAGTTTCCAAGA